ATGAAATAGGCCTTAAGTCAAATCACATATTGGTTGGTTACTCCCATAAGCTTTGTGTCAACATTGCCCTAGCAAATATTTTAGGTAGGAAGATTGTAAAAGTTTTGGCTGGATTGGTTTATGGCTGGATTATGTTTCTCTTGGTACCCTGGAGAGTATCTTCCCATACCAAAGACACTAGAACATGGGGGTAAAGGTTCTTTGTGGACACCAGCTCGAATTCTCCGTCTTCAGTGAGTTATGTGGGTGTTGTCATCAGTGGGGTCTTGTTGGCAGTTTGTGGAGAGCAGCTTATTATCTTGGCAGCAACCTGGGTTGTTTGGGGATTTCCATGTGACTGTTATGCCAAAGTTAGATGAAACAAACTTGGTGAGAAGTGGCCAGTTGGGACTCTATTTTCCTCATTATTTGGAAAATTTATTACAATTGACTACATATGTTAGGAAGTTTTCATTGTCCTAGGTTTCCTTGCTGCTCCTCAAATGCCCCTTACATCTAGTTGCCTCTCCCTACATTCCCTCCCTCAGCTCCATTTCTCTTCTGTTCCCCAACTGATCTTCCCATTTCAGCTCTCACCCCTTCCTCCCAGTTCACCAATAAAGTTCATCCTATTTCTCTCTCTCGGGAGATCTATGTGTCCCCTCTGAACCCTTCATCAATACTGGCCCACTCTGGATCTATGGTTTGTAGCTTGATTATCACTTATTTGGCTAATGTCTATATAAAGTCAATACTGAATGGGTTACCTCACTCGGTGATTTTTTTTTTCTAGTTCCATCCATTTGCTTGCAAATTGCATGATGTCATTTTAACAACTGAATAATACTCCCTTGTATAAAAGTACCACATTCTTTTGTTGAAGTACATCTAGGTCCCTCCACCTTCTGGCTATTATGAATAGAGCAGCAGTGTCCTTGTGGTGTGATAGAGTGTCCTTTGGGTATATGCCCAAAAGTGGTATGGTGAATCTTGAGGTAAATCATTTCCCAACTTTTTGAGGAGGTGCCTTATTGATTTTCATGGTGACTGCAAGTTTGTGCTCCCACCAACAGTGGAGGAGTGTTTGCCTTGCTCCACCCTCTAGCATATGATGTCATTTGCGTTAGTGATCTTAGCCATTCCAATAGGTGTGAGATGGACTCTCAAAGTAGTTTTGAGTTGCATTTCCCTGATGGCCAAGGATATTGGACATTTAAGTGTTTCTCAACCATTTGAGATTGCTCTATTGAGAATTCTTTGTATATATCTGTTCCACATTTTTTTAAATTGAATTCTTTGGCTTTTTAGATCTAGTTTCTTGAGTTTTTTATATATTTTGGACATTAGTGCTCTCTCAGCTCTGGAGCTGGTAAATTTTCATTCTCTAGGCAGCCATTTTTGCCCTATTGATGGTGTCCCTTGCTATGCAGAAGCTTTAGTTTCATGTGGTACTATTGCTTGATTGTTGATTTTACTGCCTGTGCTAAGGGGGTTCTGTCCAGAAATACTTTTCTTGTACCACTGGTAAGTGGTATCTTTTGAAAAGATGATTCATTTATTTTTGATTTTCCAGTTGGATGGAATACAGGTTTTTGAAGTGTATTCTTAGGATTTTCTGGATTTCCTTGGTGTCTGTTGTTGTGACTCCTCTCTTTTTGTTTCTGATTTTATTAGTTTGGGTAAGAGTTTGTCAGTCTTACTGATTTTCTCAAAGAACCAACTCATTTCTTTGATTCTTTGTGTTTTTCTCTTTGTTTTTATTTTATTGATTTCAGCCCTGAGTTTGGGAATAACTTGCAATTTTCTCTTTTTGGGTAGCTCTCTCTCTCTCTTCTTTTTTTTTTTTTTTGTGACAGGGTTTCTCTAGCTTTGGAGCAGTTCCTGGAACTAGCTCTTATAGACCAGGCTGACCTTGAACTCACAGAGAACCGCAAGCCTCTGCCTCCCGAGTGCTGGGATTAAAGGCATGTGGCTTGTATATTCATTTTTATTCAATTCTTGAAAGTCTTTATTCTGCTTTGGCCCATTGTTCCTTGAGTAGAAAGTTGTTCGGTTTCCATGAGTTTGTAGGGTTTCTGTTTCTATTGTTGAAATCTAGCTTTACTCTAAGGTGGTCTGATAGGATGGAGGGTGTCATTTTGATTTTTTTTTTTTTTTTTTGGTTTTTCGAGACAGGGTTTCTCTGTGGTTTTGGAGCCTGTCCTGGAACTAGCTCTTGTAGACCAGGCTGATCTCGAACTCACAGAGATCTGCCTGCCTCTGCCTCCCAAGTGCTGGGATTAAAGGTGTGTGCCACCACTGCCTGGCGTCATTTTGATTTTCTTGTATCTGTTGAGACTTACTTTGTGTCTTGAGTATGTGGTCTATAGTATGAGGCCACTCGTTTTTTCCTGTCTGCTCAGCCCCGAAGTAATCAACAGAAACCATATTATTTATAATACTGTTTGGCCATTAGTTTAAGCGTATTTCTGGCTAACTCCTATATCCTAAACTAACCCATCTCCGTTAATCTATGTATCACCACGAGACTGTGGTTTACTTGGGTAAAGTTCTGGTGTCTGTCTCCGGAGGGGCTACATGGCTTTTTTCTGACTCTGCCTTCTCTCTCCCAGCATTCTTTTTAGTTTTCTCCTCCTAACTCTTTCTGCCCTGCTCTGCTATAGGCTCAAAGCAGTTTCTTTATTAACCAATGGTATTCACAGCATACAGAGGGGAATCCCACATCAGTGGTCAGTTTTGAGTAAGCTCCCGGAGATGCAGAAAAGAAGGTGTAGTCTTTTAAAAGTGTTTGGGTGACTGTAGATATCTTCTAGGTTCATTTGGTTTAGAAAGTCTGTTAGCCCCATCATTTCTTTGTCTTTGTCTGGATGAGAGTGAGGTATTAAAGTCTCCCAACATCAATGTGTGAGGGTCAATGTATGATTTTAGCTCTAATTGTGTTTCTTTTACAGATTAGGGTGCCCTTGTATTTAGGGCATAGATTTAAAAATTCAGTTATCATCTTGGTAAATTATGTAGTTTATTTCTTTTGGTTACTTTTGGTTTGAAGTCTTATTAGATATTAAAATGGCTACCAGCTTGACTCTTAGGTTCATTTTCTTGTTATATCTTTTTCCAACCCTTTACCCTGAGGTAATGTCTATCCTTGGTGTTCAGGTGTGTTTCTTGGATGTAGCAGAAGGTTGTGTCTTGCTTTTCGTCCATTCTGTTAGTCTGTTGTTTTTATTGGTGGAATTCAGTTCATTGATATTGAGAGAGATTAATGACAAACGATCGTTGTTTTTCCCGTTATTTTCTTGTTTTTGTTGTGGTTGTAGTGGAGAGAGATAACGGAGAGAATGTTTCCATTTTATTTTGATTTTGCTGGTCTGATATTATTTCCTATGGTTTTTCATGGTTGTAGTTAACCTTAGGTTGGAGTTTTTCTTCTAGCAACTTTTGGTATTGGGATGATTGTAGATCTATGTGCTAATAATCTGGTTTTGTCTTTGTTGAATGGGTGTTTGTTCCCTTGGTTCCTGTTTCCTCTTTGAATTTTAGGAGAGTATGATAGCAGTGTATTGCTGGTAGGAAGTTTTTCTGTGGACCTGTTTCCTTGGCCTGCTCAGTTGGTGTATTCCCAGGAAACGCTTGTTGTTAGAGGCTGGGATAATTGGATGAGTTGGGGTAAGGAAGGCTGGAGTAGTAGGTCTGTGTGATCCCTTGGCCATGGAGGCAGGGAGAAAAGGGAAACTGCTGCAGGTGTCCTGTTACTGAGCTGGAGATAGACTGGGGGATTTAGCTGGAGGAGCAGCAGGAGAGGTGAAAATGAAAGTCAGCTTTCCTGGCAGGAGTGGCCTTTGGGTCAGCAGGTGATGCCTGCTGGGGTGAAGTAGGGTGTGGGGTTCAGAGGGGAAGACGTGGGATCTACCAGGGAGGGATGCTGGGAGCCGGGGCAGGAAAGGCTGATTTTGAAGGAGTTTTGTTGCAGCAAGCTGTTGGTTACTCCTCATAACAGTCATGCCAGTGTTGTACCTTTGAAGGCATCTTGTCTGACAGGTTGGTTTTGCAACTCGAAAGGTCTACAGCTGGGTCTACACTTGATGCCTTTCTCCCGTAAGATCCAATGTCGTCTTAAACTATGCAAGCTATCAAGTAGAGTAAGAGAGGACGCTTCCAATTTATTTCCCTCTTGACTTCTTGATTACTATAACTAAAAGTGTATGTTGTCTTCAGTAGTGGGGTCTTAACATCTAGTTCTGGTGGGCATCCAAAGTGCTATAGCAACAGACTGTTATTTTGAGAGCCTTTGGAGTCTCCCTTATTGGCAATGGAATTTTCTTTTAAAAATCTTTGTCTTCTGAGAACAGCAATAAGATGAAGAGTATATTTTACTGTATTTTGTTTTTAAAATAGAGAAGAGTAAAACCGTTAATTGTGTTTCATGTTGTAGGCATAATACTGATTTTTATTTTCTTCTCAGATACAGCATTTCTACATTTTTTTCTTAAGTACAAAATTTAAGTGGCAGTACTTGATTCCATCATAAAGACTGCAGTTTAATTCCTCTGTTGGACATAGTATTCCAAATTTGTTTAAATCTTGTATGTATATTATATTCTGTACCTGTAAAGCTTATTAGCATTTTGTAAAAAATCTCAGTATTTTAAAATTGGGACAGAAACACAATCTTTATTTTACTCCTACATTTTCTGCTTAAAAACGCCATAATTTTGTAATATTTTAAAATTATCACTGACATAGTTTTACATGCTTAATCCTAGCACCTAGGAGAAGCAGAAGGATTGTGAGATTGACGCCAGTCTTCTGTAGAGTGAATTTGAGTACAGCTGGGCAGCAAGACTGTCTTTAGGGCGATGGTACTCATCTGTATTTCTGCTGGTAATATTGATTTGAAATTTTAATTATGTTGACTAGGCACATCTCTTTCATTCACTTAAAACTGCTTTCAGTATTTCAGATAACTTTTTTCTCTTTCAAGCGTACATTTCACTACTGATTTGTGGTTTTCTGTTTTGCAGAATACCAGCTATCCACCAATGTCAGATCCATATATGCCTAGTTACTATGCTCCATCCATTGGATTTCCATATTCTCTTGGGGAAGCAGCATGGTCCACGGCTGGAGACCAGCCTGTGCCGTATCTGACACCCTATGGACAAATGAGTAATGGAGAGCATCATTATATACCAGATGGTGTTTTTAGTCAACCAGGGGCATTAGGAAATACCCCTCCATTTCTTGGTCAACATGGATTTAACTTTTTTCCTGGTAATGCTGATTTCTCTACATGGGGGACAAGTGGATCTCAGGGACAATCAACACAAAATTCTGCTTATAGTAGCAGTTACGGCTATCCACCTAGTTCTCTTGGGAGAGCTATTACTGATGGACAGGCCGGATTTGGCAATGATACTTTGAGTAAGGTGCCTGGCATTAGTAGTATTGAGCAAGGCATGACTGGACTGAAAATTGGTGGTGACCTGACGGCTGCAGTGACAAAAACTGTAGGTACAGCCTTGAGCAGCAGTGGTATGACTAGCATTGCAGCCAATAATGTGCCCCCTGTTAGCAGTGCAGCACCTAAACCAACTTCTTGGGCTGCTATTGCCAGAAAGCCTGCCAAACCTCAACCGAAACTTAAACCCAAGGGCAATGTGGGCATTGGGGGTTCTGCTGTGCCACCACCTCCTATAAAACACAACATGAATATTGGAACTTGGGATGAAAAAGGGTCAGTGGTAAAGGCTCCACCAACCCAACCAGTTCTGCCTCCTCAAACTATAATCCAGCAGCCTCAGCCATTAATTCAACCACCACCATTGGTGCAAAGCCAACTGCCTCAACAGCAGCCTCAGCCACCACAACCACAGCAGCAACAAGGACCTCAGCCACAGGCCCAGCCTCACCAAGTGCAGCCTCAGCAGCCACAACTGCAGAACCGCTGGGTAGCTCCTCGGAATAGGGGAACTGGCTTCAACCAGAATAATGGAGCAGGCAATGAAAACTTTGGTTTAGGTGTTGTACCAGTTAGTGCTTCACCTTCTAGTGTAGAGGTGCATCCAGTGCTGGAAAAACTAAAGGCCATAAACAACTATAATCCCAAAGACTTTGATTGGAACCTGAAGAATGGACGTGTGTTTATAATTAAGAGCTATTCCGAGGATGATATACATCGTTCCATTAAGTACTCTATCTGGTGTAGTACTGAGCATGGTAATAAGCGTTTGGATGCAGCTTATCGTTCCCTGAATGGGAAAGGCCCGCTCTATTTACTCTTCAGTGTGAATGGCAGTGGACATTTTTGTGGAGTGGCTGAAATGAAGTCTGTTGTGGACTATAATGCATATGCTGGTGTCTGGTCTCAGGATAAGTGGAAGGGCAAATTTGAAGTTAAATGGATCTTTGTCAAAGATGTTCCCAATAACCAATTACGACATATTCGCTTAGAAAACAATGACAACAAACCAGTAACCAATTCAAGGGACACTCAAGAAGTACCCCTAGAGAAAGCAAAGCAAGTGCTTAAAATAATTGCTACTTTCAAGCATACCACCTCAATCTTTGATGACTTTGCACATTATGAAAAGCGTCAAGAGGAGGAGGAAGCCATGCGAAGGGTAAGTATGAATCCAATAATTTTTTGTGTGAGGATTTATCCCCATGGGTGGAGTGCATGGAATGGCATCCATTTATACCTCTGAATATTATAGTTTATGAAACCAAAAGCTTAAGAAACAGAACTCTAATCTACCTCTTATCTGCAGCCCTTCTAGTTACTGCTCTTATATGTTGCTATATTATCAAGTATTTGTTAATGCTTTGTTTTATGAGAAAGGTGGTGTGTGTGTTATGTAACTATAATATATAATTTATAGAACCAAAACATATGTATAACAAAATAGAGCAAGAATTTGACATTAGGGTGGGAGATTAGAAGGGTATGGCCTTTAGAATTTGATCTGTAGTATTTGATTTTCTCTTGTTAGCACACTTTCTGTGAGACTTGGGGAGACTCCCTGAGTTTACATATATTTGTATAAGCTTGGAATGTGGTCCCAAGGCAAGACAGGCTTGAGTTGCTTTCTCTTCGGAACTAAACATCAATTTGGGAGGCCTGATTTTAAATGTAAAGGGAATGGGAAGGGTAGGAAATGAATTTTTTTTTTTCATGCGCAGTACACTTTCTATTGAAAATAAGCAAGAAATAGAATAACATTAGCCATTGTGGAAATATTTGTGGGAAATTTAATGTTAAGGCACACACTTCTGTCTTCATGAAAACACAGCACTGATTCATTTCTTTGTATGAACTCAAATATCATATGACTTCTTACATATGTGGAGCAGAGCAAACTCCTTCAGCCAACATTGAGCACTCAGTGGTTAATTCTGCTGAGTAGGGTCTGTAATGGTTTCTAAACCATAAGACTCAGAAGTATTTATTGGAGTGTCACCCCTTTTTGTATTTGATAAGGACTTTAGCTACATTTCTGACAAGCAACCTAGGTAACGCTGGTGCTAGTCTTGCTGTGCTGAACAGTTAGAAACTTGGCTTTGGAGTGATTCAGACTGCTGTTTGCACCTTTGTAGGAGCTGTTTAAATGAATTGCTAAATGGAGTTTTCTCCTAGTTAAATGTGGGAAGTGAGGAAAATAGGATCAGAAGTTGCTAGGGTGTCTTTTCAGCTTATCGGTTAAGTAATAGATTGTAATTGCTATTATAAGACAGTGGATCAGGAGAACAATTTGGAATGTGGACTGTGTGATGTGGGTAAAGATGTCATTTGGGATATTCTTATTTTAGGATCTTTGAGAAATACAGGTAGGGACCTTCCTGATTTAGACAGTTGAGAGACATGGGAATCAGACTTGGAACTTTTTGTTCTTCTGTAGCTGAGTCTGTTGAAGTGAGATAAGATTGTCCAGGAGAAAAAGATGGCAAAGAAATATGTAGAAGCTTTTTCTTTCTTCTGCCACCAAGTACATTTTTTTTTACATCTCTTTTTTACCTAGTCTGAAAATTTAGTTCTGGTTTTATTGTTTCTGATGTTCTAATATATATTTTATTTACTGAGTTTTCTCCACTCATGATTATTTTGGCAATGAGGGTTCTCCAGCTTGCTTTTCTAGGCAACAAGATTTCCTGTGGAGGAGCCAACTTGGCATATCCTGTCTGCCATATAAGTTTAAATGTCAGGTTTTCTTATTTCAGAATGAGAAGTTTCAGGGGAACTTGAAGCTGCAAGAAAAATCTTTCATCAGTATTTGTATAGGTACTAACTCATTGATGTGCACACATTCTTAGATTTGAACTGCCGGTTTTAATTATATTTGAGTAAAATGAAGTTTCATGAAAGGACCAAGATAAAAAAAATTGGATAATGCGTGGAACAAAAGATAGTTTAAAATGTAGGAGCCAGGTGTAGTGGTACACACCTTTAATCTCAGCACTCAAGAGGAAGAGGCAGGCGATCTCTGAATTTGGGGCCAGTCTGTTATACATTGTGACTTCAAGGACAGCTCTCGCTATACAGAGAGATCCTTCAGAAACAAGCAGCTGTACACATATATGCATACATATATACACACACACACACATTATACACATATAAAACAAAAGTTACAATTTGCTTTGTAGGAAGGATTCCTATTCCTACATAATTGGAGCAGAATACTAAAAAGTTTTATTGAAAATTTAGAACATGTTTATCACAGTTAAAAAAAATAGGTTAGCAAGCAGATTAATGTGAATATATTCCCATGTTAGATCTTGTTGAAGTTTCAGAAGTTCAAATTGGAAAAGTTAACCAAATCTAGAACAATTGACATGAAAATAGAAAAGGAAAAAGATAGAGTGAAAAGAGAAGTGGTCTCTGTTTTTTAAGCAGCAGGAAGAAACAATCAGTGTAAAAGATATTTTGGGAACTTTTCCTAAACCCATGTTTCCAGGTGGAATAATGGGGTTACCAGATGATTAGCAGGCTAGTTTGAAATGATAAAAGACAGGAAAGATACTGCAAAGGAAAGATAAGCAGGGTAATCAACAGTGTCTCCTCTCCCCTCTGACCCTAGGAATGAAAAGTGAAATCTTATTTCAGAGTGCAATAGAGGGAGTATAGAATTACATCCCTCAGGTCGGTAAAGCAGTGAAGTTTAAGCTTAGAAGAACTGAGCCTGAGTCTTCATAGGGTTTTTTGGGGGTCGTGGGGGGTTGATCTTGTTTTGTTTTGTTTTTGAAACAGGGTTTCTCTGTGTAACAGCTCTGGCTGTCCTGGAACTTGCTCTGTATACCAAGCTGGCTTCCAACTCTTAGAGATCCACTTCCCTCAGCCTCCCTAGTGCTGGGATTAAAGACATATGCCACTGCCTGGCTGCCTCCATAGTTTTTAAAAGAAAGGTTGAAAGAGACATTTCAACAAAATTAAAAAAAAAGAATTGAAGAAATGCTGATAATTCCTGTTAACTATTGGTTATATTGGAACAATACCCCTTCACAGGGATTCTGAACATATATTCAGTTAAACAGATTTGTTGCTCAAGAGCAGAAAGAGTCTTTAAGCCTAGCAAACAAAATGGGCTTATGATTGGAAACCACTATCCTTTGCAGAGAGAAGGGATATGGGAAGAAGAAAAAAAACCTGTTGATAATCTTTGTTGACGGGTTTCGAGGCTGATTGAAAGGAGGCAGGAGCAGAGTTTGCTCTCTGCTCATTTCTTAGTATCAGGTAGTAGGACTGTCAAAAAGGCAGTTTTGTTAAGATACTGTCAAGTGAGTAAATTCTGAAAAGCAATGGTTCTCAACCTTCCCAATGCTGCGACCCTTTACAGCATAACCATAAAATTATGTTTCTTATTAATTTGTAACTGATTTTTGCCACTGTTACAGATTTATAATGTAAATATCTGTTTTCTGATGGTTATAGAGCATGTCTGTGGGTCTTTCACTTTTAAAAGGGTCATGACCCACAGGTTGAGAACCAGTGCTTTAAAGACTTTTCATAGTTTGAGTGTCTTAGAATTTTTCTTCCTTACTGGTCTAATCTCTAGTTTTTACTGGTTGTTTGCTGTATTTAGTAAGTGCTGCCTGTTGATTTGATTTCTCCATTTGTGCAAACGGTAAGTTATAGAAGTTCAGTTCTAGGTAGAACATTAGGAGATAGAGTGGGGGGACACATGCCCATTTTTATCTTTTCGAAGTTTATTCAAATATTATGGTAATTTAAGGACTAGTGCCTTAGGCTTATTATTTAAAGTCCTGATACATAACACTGGTTTTGGTAAACTTATCTGAAAATGGAAACGTGCCTCTTGAATTCTAGGCAAGTGCTTGCCCAAGCGTAGAATCTTTATTATCTTTATTTGCTTCCAGAAGAATTATTTGTATATGTTGCCCCTTTGGTAAAGCTAATATAATCCTTGAACATGAGAGGAAAATAAAGAAGAGCTGACTGTATTTGTCTAGTATAAATGTTAGTATCCTCACAGTAGTAGACTGTCTAGGTGTTGGGCCTCATAAGGCCCAGTGTAACTTCTTAAGCCTAACTTGAGTTTGGTGAGCCCTAGTGTAACTTCCTGAGCCTAGCTCGAGTTTGGAGATGTGTCTCTAGTTACTTGACCTAGGCCTGCCTCTGCCCAGCCACCACTAATGTGACAGAATACTTTTGGCCCTTGTGTTCTTTGCTCCACCTCAACCCATTCCAAGCTTCTCCAACCCCATCACAACCCTATATAAGTTCCTGCCTGATACCGTTAAATGGGATCCTGCTTTGACAGACTCCTGACTCATGGGTGTGTTTCCTCGTTGGCCATTTAGGAGGGCTGGGTCATTCACTCAGGGAAAGCCCCAAGGAAAGCCCAGCAGGTCGGGCTCTGCCCCTTCCCTTTCTGCATCTAGAGAACCCGGCATCTAGGTAATACTTAGTTTTTTCAGTTGGATGAATCACTTTTTATATACTATATTATTTTACTCTTATAAATCCTTATTGTCAATGGACAATTTAGTATGGGGTTTTATGTGTGCGTGTGTATTTTTTTTAATTTAATCCTTATGTTTTTTGTGGATTCAGATGTTCTGCCTGTGTGTCTGTCTACCACATGTGCAGTTCCTGTGGAGGCCAGAAGAGGGATAAAATTTTTTGGGACTGGAATTAAAGATGGTTTGTGAGCTACCATGTGGGTGCTTAGAATTGAACTCAGATCCTTTGGGACCCCCTGTCCCCATATTCTTCACCACTGAGGCATCTCTCCAGCTCTAAGTTTTAGTTTTAATAGCTGGCCTATTTTTTTTTTTTGTTGGCATGATAGTATATTTGGTTAACATTTTATAGCATTGATTTCCCTCCTCCCTCTGCCAGCTTGTAGTGGTTATGTTATATTCCAGTGTTGCTTAAAAATCCCCAGCACTCAGGAGGCAGAGACGGGCGGATCTCTGTGAGTTTGAGACAAGCCTGGTCTACAAGAGCTAGTTCCAGGACAGGCTCTAAAACTACAATGAAACCTTGTCTCGAAAAAAACAAAAAAGAAAAAAAAAAAGGGAAGCTTTCAGGGAATTAATGGCCTCTCTGGTTGTTCAGATTAGTCATAGACCTTCAGGGAGCTATTTCTTTCATACTTTAATT